GAAAAAATTTTATGGAGTGTCTAATTCGATGTTTGTGTAACCCAAAATACATTGTCGATGAAAAGGAAGAGAGCCAAAAACCTCTTATTCAAAGAAATATAACGAAACAACAATTTCTAAATAATGACAAATCTCAAGTTTATATGGAAGCACATCCGAATCAAGTAAGAGATCAAGTCATCAAAAGTGACCAGCAAGTTCTTCATCGACCGACAAAAGCAACACTATCACCATCTACAACTACTCTGCGTGGACGGGAGCAGCGGCGGCAGTGAGCCGCTCCCTCGCCGCCTCCTACCTCCAGTCCCGCTCATACCGCGCCCCTCCCGGCGACCAACAGCAGCAGCCGCAGCCGCAGCAGCAGCAGCAGCAGCAGCAGCAGCAGCAGCAGCAGCAGCAGCAGCAGCCGCCGCCGCCGCCGCCGCCGCCGCCGCCGCGGCAGCCGCCGCCGCCGGCCGCCGAACCTGTCTCGGGCCTCTCTGCTACCAGCACCGCCGCCTCCTCCCTCGCCGCCTCCGCCGCCTCCGCCGCCCCGCCCTCCGCCGCGCCGCAGCCGCCGCTGGCGGAAGGCGAGGTGGCAGCTGCGGCTGTTGCAAGCGAGGCTTGCCTTGGCTAGATCGGCGAGTCAGTGTGACACACGCCCCTGTGCACACGGCGCGAGAGGCACAGAGCCACACAGAGCCACAGCCAAGATCACGCACACGACTCGAGTCGAGAACAGACAGACCAGTCGAGAGACAGACAGAGGACGACAGCCGGACGGCACACACTGGGCTGGAGGAGGGCGAGTGTGAGGGCGGGCTGCATGGTGTGGCTTGGGTGTGACCTATGGTGCGAGCTCTAGCTAGGTGGCCTCACACCCCTGACGGTTGCGCATGCATGTACCGTAGTCTTGGCCCGCGTCGCCGTACGAGCTGCGCTGCGGCGAAGGTGCGGGGCAGCTACTTCCCCCCCCCCCCCCCGGTATCTCCCCGTATCTCCCCACATCTCGGGCAGCAGCCAGTGCTCCCTGCCCCTCCCCGTATCTCCCCACATCTCCCCGTATCTCCCCACATCTCCCCGTATCTCCCCATATCTCCCGATATCTCCCCGTAGGTGCGGGCAGCAGCCAGTGCTACCTGCCCCTCGACGCCGCCTCTTTCTCGGTGCGCGGGCGGGAGTACTTTGCCGATGGCAAGAAGGCGCCCTCGCTTCAAATAATTAGTTCATCAGACAATGAGTCAGTAACCACGGTGCCGGTGGCAAGAAGGCGCCCTCGGCGCGCGGCGCGTCGGAGCTGCTGGCTGTGGAGCTCTTCCGCTCGAGAGCGCCCGTCGAGGCGACCTCTTCTCTCTCGCCCCCTCCCCTCCCTCTCCGTCCCCCCCTCCCTCCCTCTCCCTCCCTCCGTCCCTCCCTCCCTCCCTCCCTCCCTCCCCTCCCCCCCTCCCTCCCTCTCCTCCCCCCCTCCCTCCCTCCCTCCCTCCCTGCCTCCCTCCCTCCCTCCCTCTCCCCCCCTCCCTCCCTCCGCCCCCCTCCCTCTCCCCCCCCTAGGCCTCTCCGCATATGGATC